CTCTCTCTCTCTCTCTCTCTCTCTCTCTCACACACACACACACACACACACACACACACACACACACACACACACACACACACACGCACACACACTCGGGCATCCAACACAGCGATTCTCACTCACTCTGCTCCCATCCAGCACGACTGTCTTTACAACGAAGCTTCACCTATAGGCCACCACAAACCAGGTCTGATTTCCAGGCTGGTTACCAGAGTGGTGCATAAGTAGTGCACTGGAAAGAAGGCAAGGAAAATGAGCGATAGCGAGTTCCAGAAAACCAAGCAGCATCATACAGATGAAACCAGATAGTCTTGACCTCGAACCAAAGCAGAATTGCAACTCGAGTTCCACCAAATAAGAGTACAGCAAAAGCTCACAAGTGGCAATGTTGGAATAGTCTCACCATCATCAACAATGAATCAAGGTCGAACCCCTATCTGGCGCTCAACGCCCAGACTTAGAATGGAAGATCCTATCTACTCTATCTACAATCCCGCTGGTGACGTCAACAGCTTCCCCAAGTACGAGCAGGTCTTGGCCAATGCCGTTCGCATCAAGCACCAGGTATGCCCCTCGCTTCCCTCACAACCTTGATCCTCCACACAGATGCCGCATGCACCCAGGGACCACCATGCGCCCCATCCAGCAATGCGCTGGCCAGCTCGGCTATGGCTGCCTGCTTCTTCCCTGCTCGCCCGTGAGGGCATAGGCACTCGCTCCAGCAGCTGGCGCAGTAGCGCTTGGGCATAAGCAGCGAGTGCCCGAATGTCCAGCCAGCAGACAGGCCCTTTCCTTTATGGAATGAGGCTGCCAGTCGTGGGCTGCCTGGCTGGCCTGGGCCTCCCCACGGAAGCTTCCGGTATGCCCCAAGTGGCTGAGCCCCTCTTCCAGGGAATCTTGGGGTGGTTAACCATGTCCAACTGTCAGCGGCCTGTGTTCACTTCATGCCCCATGTCTGGCCCAAGGCCTTCCCCGGATACATTTGAAAAAGGCAGGCAGGGCCTGGGCTCACTCAACCAACTGGAGCTGTGCAACTGCCTGAATTTCCCAGCTGCGTCAAAACCCAAAATAGGCCTCTCATCACTTGTCAGGCCTGCCTTCACTTAGGGCAGCCGTTCTTGCTGAAACAGGGCCCAGTAGGCCTTACCGAGGCCTTGAGCCCCTCATTCCCTCCTCCATACTTCGACAGTCTTCTGAGAAGTTCACTGAATCTAGTGCTTTCCTTTCTGCAGCAACTTCTCACAGTGAGCGACAACCTGCGGAGGGGTCTGCATCAGTTCCTCCCTTGTAAACCAACTGTCCTCCTTTGGATCAATGTGATGTCTGAACCGAACGCAATATTGCAGCTTCGGCTTCGGAGGCCGGCCTCTGCCTGTTGGTCTTGGAACTGGCATTTCCCTGTGGTCCACTATGTCGTCGATGTCGACCTCTCCATCCATGGTTGGGGGCAGCATTGACCGACGAGAGGGAAACTGGTCAGTTTCCTTGAAAGGTGTGAGTTTGGAGGCATGAAAGACAGGGTAAGTGTGAAGGTGACCAGGGATTTGCACCAAATAGGAAGGCCCATCGAGATCGTCTCCGACCACGTCTAAAACCTCCCATAGCCCAAAATACTGGGGCATGAGCTTACGAGAGATTCCGTACTCTTGCCCAAGTTTAGACGACTTCACCCAGACTCTATCCCCAACCTGAAATGCAGACGGGCGGCGATGTTTGTTCTCAGACTCTATCATAGCCGCCTGCGCTTTGTGCATCTGCTCCACGGC